GGGGAGCCCCTCACCTCGTGCCTGCAGTCTGCTCCTGGCGCCCCCCCCAGGATTCAGGTGGGGAACAGCCCAGGAAGGTGCCTGGAGGCCCCACAGTCAGAGCACCCCGCTGTGTTGGGGCCCTACTCCATTCTGGAGGAGCAGCTTGGGGGTACCAACACCTGGAGGTGCCCAGCCCCTGCACCCCTGCACCCCGCCGTCCTCACAGCCACCGGTTGGCCTGGCCCTGGGGTGCGGCCAGTCCCCGCCCCTCCCAAGGCGCTGAATGGGGCCCCTGGAGGCCAGTGGCCTGGGTCCGCGTCCTCGCCTCTGCCCGGCGCTGAGCCTCGGGCCGTCCTGTACAGTGGACCTGGAGGCCGGGCCTGGCAGCGGCCTGAGTGGGGCCCAGCTGCCCAGCCCAGGGTTAGGGTGACCCCGGTTAGAGTTGGGGCTGGGGGTGCACGTAGCCGTTAGCACCCCTCTTCTGAGTCTGCGGGCGCAGCAGAATGACCCCGGCCAGCGGGCCACAGGCAGAGCCCCTGCAGCTGGGCCCCAGGACCGCGGCGGCCCCCACCTGTGGCCAGAGCCTCGTGCAGGAAGGCCACAAGAGCCGGCGAGGAGGCCGCCGGGCAGCCGCCCGCGGGGCCGGGCAGGAAGAGGCTGACGCAGGCAGCCGGCAGCCTCGGGGCATCGGAGGGTTCTGGCTGGGGCAGGGGCGTGGGGCTCAGGGCCGCTGACTCATGGGGAAGTGGCCGGCGCTGCCCCTGTCTGCCGGCCCGGGGGAGCCTGCGTCCCGACTTGGGTGGACCTGGACACAGCCTTCCGGGGCTCCCTGGGCCAGCCCCTGAGCTCGGTGCTGGGAGCCCGGCCATGCGGCCTTCTCCGAGGCCCACTTCATTTGAGGTGGCCCCCGAGCTGGCCAGCGCCTCCTGACTGGTCACTCTTTGGGTGTCTGCGCCAGGACTCGGTCAGACGGGCGCCCCCGCCCCGACCCCTGCGGCAGTGACCTCAGAGTCACCAGCAGCTGGGCAGCCGGGGTAGACGGGGGTCAGCTGGCGTGGTGATCCTGGCGCTGCCCGCGCTGACCGCCCCTCCCCGCAGGGCCAGTACTGCGACATCTGCACGGCCGCAAGCAGCAACCGGGCCCACCCCGCGAGCCACGCCGTGGACGGCACGGAGCGCTGGTGGCAGAGTCCGCCGCTGTCCCGCGGCCTGGAGTACAACGAGGTCAACGTCACCCTGGACCTGGGCCAGGTGCGGGCCCGCGGCCGGGCAGGGTGGGCGTCGCGAGGTCTGCCTGACCGAAGGCCTCGCGGGGCTCCTGCCGGGGCGGGAGGGGCCCTGGAATGCGGAGGGGGCCTGGCCAGCGGACATTCCTGGGATACCTGCGCGGGGCAGGGGCAGGTGCGCCTGGCCTGGCCGGGCCTGTGAGCCCCGAGCCCCTCCTGCGCCCGGCCTCCCCGCGGC